TTGCCAGACAGAGGCCTCAGGCCTGAGGGGTGCTGTGTCCTTGATGGTGGTGGACAGTCCCTGACTGTCCCTAGAAATGAGCTAATGCTTAGTCCACTGGCCCTGGTAGCTGCTGGCCATTGGCACTATTTACCTGCTGCCTGTTTTCCTCATGACAGGCCTTCCAAGAACTGTGATCGATGCAGGCCTGTAGCCTGGCTTCCTGCTACCCAAGTTCAGTGGCTGTAGTCTAAGGTGCATCTGGCCTGGCTGCTGCCCTCAGATGCAGAAAACAGCAGCGAGTGCCAGCTTGTGTACCCACAGCCCAAAGCCGACTGCAGGAACTGAGTGGGACCCTCTTGACCTACATGAACCAATGTGTGGTCCTGACTTCTTCCCCTGGAGAATTTACTCCGCAGCCTGGCCAGACACTCTGCGTGAACACAACCCACTGAATTCAAATAAGAAGGTTTACTATTTGGGAAACATAGCTGGGCCAGGACACAGATTCCAGGATGCCAACCCTGGTGCCTGGAAGAGAGACGAGAGGTGAGGGGGATCCAAATGCAAGAGACCCAAATCCCGGCACCCCTGGGGCAGCAGGATTTTGAGTTTGAGGCCAGTGTGGCACAGCAAGACCATGCCTCAAAAACAAACAAAAATAATAAGCAAACAAAAAGAAAGCCACTCAGGTTGTCCAACTAAACAAACATATCACTTAGCGTTGGATTATTGGTACCCTGATTCCTCTTTTTGGAGTAAATATATCCAAAAGTGTGGGACATACTTGTACTAAAAATCGTTTATCTGAAATTCTAATTTAACTGGGCATCTTATGCTGTTATTTATTATTATTGTTGTTGTTAATTATATTTATGTTTGGTTGTTTATTGGAAAATCTGAGAACCAAAATGGAAAGCCATTTCCAGTCTCCCACCAAAGGTTTCTGTCCTAATTATCAGCTCCATCGTAGGACAGAATATCACACAGCCACTAAATTTGATAATAGTCAACACTTCATTTACTGTGTGCCAGGCCCTGTTCTAACATGACTGTGTACATGAATCAACTCATGTAATCATCCAAACAGCAGAGGTAGATGGTCTTAAGGTCCCTGTCTTACAGATGAGGAAACTGAGGCACAGAGAGGTGATGGCACTGAGGTAAAGTCACACAGCCAGAAAGAGGCAGAGTCAGGTTTTCAGTGAGGAAATCAGACCCTGAGATGAGTAATCTGAATTCTTTTGCTGCTCTCTCTTCTGAAAAGAATGACAGGGGCTGGGGATTTTGCTCAGCATGCACGAGGCCCTGGGTTCTATTCCCAGCACCATAAAACAACTGTTTTTTCCCCTTGGCTTCAGAGTGAGTTTGAAGCCAACCTGAGCTACAGAGTCTCTGTCTCAGAAATATAGAGGAATGACAAAAGATATAAAAGATATACAACCTAGTGTGAAGAGAAGTGTGATCTAAAACATGATACACCATACATCACATGCAAATTACGTGTAAATGACATTTTCAAGGGGGCTGGATCCCTAGCACCCACCTAAGAGCTGGGTGTGGTCATGTGTGTACACATGTTGTTTCCTTTCTGTTGCTGTGATAGAACATTTTGACCAAAAGCAACTTGGAGGAGGAAAGGATTGATGTTTTCTTACAGGTTACAGTCCATCTTTGAGGGAAGCCAGGGCAGGAACTCAAGGCAGAACCTGAAGCAGAACTACAGAGGAATGCTGCTTTCTGGCTCAGCTCAGGCCCACTGCCTAGGGATGGCACTGCCCACAGTGGGCCCATCAATCCAATCCCTCACAGACATGCCCACAGGCCAATCTGATCTGGGAAATCCTTCACTGGGACTCCCTCAGATGACTTTAGGCTGTGTCAAGTTGACAGCTGAAGTTAACTAGGACAGCACTATAACCCAGGTGCTAATGGGAGGGAGGTGGGTGGAGACAGGAGAATGGCTGGGGCTTGCTGGCTGGCAGCCTAGTTCCAGGTTCACTGAGAGACCCTGTCTCAAGGGTAAGGCAGAAAGTGATAGAGCAGGGCACCGATTCTCTCCTGTGGCCTCCATGCATGCATGCACGCTGCAAGCAAGTGTACACCTGCACATATGTATACACCATACACACAAAAAAAATTAAAAAATAAAATAAAATAAATGAGTTAAAGGTGACTAGAGGCCATCCTTACCTGGGGGAGGTGACATCCCCATGCCATCTAGAGCTGACTAGGCCTCTGTACATGCCAGTCCATCTCACCAGGGCAGTCTGCATGGCACAGGATGCTGGGTGATCCTTGGAGACATTAATGTTTGCTGTGACTGAGGGATCCTCCCGAATCTTGGTTGGGAGGGACCAGGGATGCCACATAGGTCAGATCCCACAACAAAGCACTCCCAGTCCCTGAGACCAACAGTGCCTCCTGAGACAGCATGGAGGAGGAAGACAGACAAACAGATCAAAAGAACAGAACAGAGAGTCCAGCAGAGGATCAGGATACATGCAACCAATGTGGCTTTGACAAAACAACAAAGGCACTGCTAGGGAAGAGATATTTGTCCAACAAATGGTACCAAGCAACTGATATCCACACAGAGAAACAGCCCAAACCAAGACTTCCAGCCTTCACCAAATCAACTCAAAATGGAGAGAGACCTAAGTATACTGTGCAAAACTTCTCTCTGATTCCTAGGGAAGAACCAGGGAGCTTAAATAACAGGGATACAGTGGAGATGTTCTAGACTCAACACCAAAGACATATCAATGAAAGAAATAATTGATAAACTTTACTTCATCAAAATAAAGAACCTGGGGGCTAGAGAGATGGCTCAGTGGTTAAACATGTGGGCTGCTATTGCAGAGGATCTGAGTTCAGTTCCCAGCACCTACATCAGGTGGCTCATGACCACCTACCTATATTATAAACAAACATATGAAGTTGAAAATTTCTGCTGTATAAAAGACTATGTCAAGAGAACAGGAAGACAGACCTGGAGAAGAATCTGCAAATGACTCCACTGATAAAAAACAAACAAACAAACAAACAAACAAAAAAACCCAAGAAGGAAACAATCCGATTAGAACAGGGAGCAAGGACCTTATCAGACACACCTACCTCAAAGAAGATGACACCGAGCATAGGAAAGGGTGCCCAGGCCCATGCCATTGGGACATGCAAATTAAAGAAGCTACCACTTCACACCCCTAAGTCAGAATGGACAAAATCCAGAACTGTGATACCACCCAGTGCTGGAGAGGATGTGGAGCCAGTGGAAAGCTGGGTCACCACTGCTGGGAATATAGAACTGCTTGAAACGCTCTCACAAAGAGAGACATTCTCTTATCATACAACCCAGCAACCATGTGCCATAGTGTTTACCTAGAGGGACTGAGAATGGATGTCCACATAGAAACCCACACGCAGGTGTGTGGAGCAGCTTATCCATAGATGCCAGACTCAAAAGCTACTAAGATGGCATTCAAGAGATAAATATAAAAATAACTATGACCATTTGGGTAGAGGATGACATCAGGGGCTTGGCAGTGCATGCCTGTAATCCCAGCACGGAGGAGACTGAGGCAGATAGATCTTAAGTTCCAGGGCAGCCTGAGCTACATAAAGAGACACTGTCTCAAAAAAAAAACAAAAAAACAAAAACAAACAAACAAACAAAAAAAAAACAAAGGGGGCCAGATGAAGACACACAGAGGGCAACCACATGGAGACTCGGGGGGAATGGAAGCCATCTCCAACCCACAGAGAGACACCCAGCCAAGAACACGTCCATGACTGCTGCCCTCTGGCTAATTTCTGTAGTTCATGTCACACACCACACACAGACACACACACACACACACACACACACACACACACACACACACACACACACACTCTGGCTCTCTCTCTGGTCAGCCTCAAGGTAGAAGGACTACTAACAGATAAAGCTACACAGAGGTGATGCTCTGTGGGGTGTTGACAGATGAAGAGGAGCTCACTGGATAGACTGAGTGTGGAAAGCCACTGTGAGCAGTGGAGCCTGCATGGAAGGACGGAATGTTGCTGGCCTCTGGGAAACATGAGCTCATCACAGCTGGCTTGGGGTACGTAAGGAAGTCTGGGCCAGGTGGGTCTGAGTGAGCCACAGCTAGCCAGGTGAGTGCTGACTTGTGCCAAGCACGGTGCTCAGGACCTCTGTGTTGTGGTTTGAATGGGAAATCTCCCCTATGGGCTCTGTGTGGGGACACTTGCTCCCCAGCACATGGTGCTGTTCTTAGAGGTATGGAACCTTGGGAAGGTGGAGCCTTGTTGGAGGAAGTGGGTCACTAGAGGGCAGGCCCTATGGGATATCCTGCTTCCTGACCCTAGGTGTGTCTAAGGAGCCACCACACGGCTACACCCTATACTGTGAGTCACTCCCAGTGCTTCATCTTCCCACCAGGATGGACTGTACCCCATCATGAACTGAGAGCCAGAATAAATCCTTCCTCTCTTGTTTCTGTCACAGAGATGAGAAAAGTGACTGACATGCTATTTACTGTCACTAAACCCAACAGCTCCATTTTGCAGATGAGGACACAAGCTCAGGGATATGACAGGTTTGACACTGTAAGAGTAGCAGAACCAGGATTTGAACACAGACCAAGTCTAACTCCTGGATCATATCATTTCTTAACCCTGAGATGTCCCTCCTCTTCGACAGGGGAGTATGGGGACAAGGCCAGCACCCCACTACCTCTCAGGGCTCTGCCTGAAGGTGTCAGATTCGTGGTGGGTGCACAGATCAGAAAAGGGGGTTCCAAGGAACCCCAAGGGCAGAGCAGGTAGGCTACGAAGCTGCGGCCCCAGGGCCCTGCTGGGAACCCGTGGATACCAGCAGCTGTTCTGCCACCTGCCCTTCCACCACCCTTTCATCTCTGCAGAAAACGAGGCAGCGGCAGCCTCCGGAGAGCCCAAAGTTCGGGTTAAAGGCTTTCTGGAAAAATGCCCAAGGTAGCAGACAAGTCCACAGTCACCCTGGATGATGCCTGACACTTCTCACCAGGCGCTCCCTGACAGGCATCTTCAAAGGACAGTGGTTGGTTAGCCTGCTGGCTTTTGTCCCGGAGTCACTCACACATAGGGGTGATTTTTCCTATGCGCTGTTGCATTATTTTGATTTGAAGAAGCCAACCCTGGTGCAAACCCAAGAGAGAACAAGGAGGAAGGAATGATTCTAGAACAATCGGACACGGTGGTGTGTGGGTAAGTTGCACGTAAAACAGTCACGATCAAGACTATTTTCCTGAGATCAAAGAGGGGACAGTGATGCTGAGGGAGGGCGGTGCTGAGGGGGCATTGGTGCTGATGCAGTAGGTGTAGAGGGCTCAAGGAAACACCTAGGACAGGGCAGGGGCTGCCAGCCACTTTTCCTAAGGGGGAAAATCCACACCCAGAGAGCTCCACCTGCTGAGCTAGTGGGGTGGGAAGGAGGGAGACCGGGGGTCCTGGCAGACTTCCTTGAACATGGTGACCCCAGAGATGGAACTGCTCACTGTACCAAAGCTCCACCTGGGACCCTGACATGAACACTGCCAAGTCACTGCACGAAAGTTCACACAGAAAGGGGACCAGGGGCTATAGAGCCTGGCCCAGGGCCACATCCTAGGACACAGTGAGATCTTTCTGTCCCCCAGTCCTCCCTTCAGTACCTTGGTCATCAGCATGAAGATTTTCAAGTAGGGCACATAGAAAAAGACAGCAGACAGGATGTGTGTCCTGTTCACCTTTATAGAAATCTGACCATACAGAATGGAGTGGCCAAGAGTTTCCAGAACCATCCACAGGAGACGTGGGGTAGTGCTGTTTGTGGTTTTAGGTAATAGAAACTTAATTTGAATATGCTTAAATAATCAGACTGAGCTGAACTCCTGTGATCAAACTAGAGACAAGGGGCAGTGGCCCCAGGAGGACTCAAACCTGACGCTCTGGGTTGCTCCATGCAAGCCGCTTTCAGCATGTCCCTGTGGAGGAATCAGCTCTAAATTTCCATCCTTCCAGGAACTTAGCAAGAAAAAACAGCCTAGCCTCCCAGAGGCAACTGAAAAATTCCAGGGGAATCTCTGATTGGCTCAGCTTGACTCATGTGACTCCCCCTTGAGCCAATCACTGTAGCTAGAGGATGGAGTTGTGGACTGACAACTTCCCTGTGTCTCCCTGGGTTAAGTCACATGACTGATGGAGCTGTAAGATGCCTGAAGACTACTCTAGGAGTTAGGGTGGCATGGAGGACACCACCAGGCTTATCTGCCACCCCATGGCTCCTGCCCACTGCCTGCTCCCAAGGACTGCTCATCTCCCCAGGCAGAGCTCTCCAGGTTGGTTATCATGGAGGCTGCTTCACAATGGCCAGGCACAAACAGGAACACAGCTTGAGAGGGGAGTGGGCCCTCCATGAACACAGTCCTTGGGTCGTATGCACCCTGCCACCCCATCCCATTGAAGGGGAAGTTGGAGTTCTCAGAGAGGCATAGGGCTAGTGCGGAGATCACACAGCATGTGAAAGATAATGTGGGGAGTTGAATCTGACAGTAGTAGATGTCAAAGCCAGTGCTCCTCACTTTCACCTTGACCCCCAGCTAACCCCAAGCGTCCTAGAGTGGCAGGAGTTCCCACAGCGGGATAGAGGTGGGAGGCAGCACCGCTGTGAGTTTGCTATCACGTGTAGCCCAGGCCTGCACTCATGTGAGTTTGGAGGACATTCTGTTAGGACTAGAGACTCTGGGGTCTCCCCCTTGAGATTCTGACGCAGTAGGTATGGCAAGTGTCTTAAATGTACTGGCTTCCAGAGAGTGTAGATGCTGCTGCTACAAGAACCTCAGCCAAGAAACCATTGAAAAAAATCGTTGTTGCTTGGTAATACCACTGGGCATTTAGCAAAAATAAATACAAAATCTCTTGAGCACAGGGTGAATGAACTCTGATCTTTGGGCTAAATCTCCCAGACCAAATCCTGTCATGTCATTGGTTCACACAGTGTTTACACGGGCTTTTACACAGGGCAGAGATGAGTGGTTGTGTAAGAGAGATGGTAGGCAGGTGGCAACCCCCCAAATATTTACTATCTGGCTGAATTCTGGTCCTGGGGTCCACTCAGGGCATGGAATTCACTGGGAAACAATCCAGTGTAAGACTCGAAGTCCTAAACTACAAAACATATAACAAAGCAGGATGAGCCCCAAGAACCCCAGAAAATGGGATTGTTAGCCACTTTTCCCATGGGTATGACAACTTAAGCAACTTAAGGGAGAAAGGATTGCTTCGGGCCCAGAGTTAGAGGAGACACCATCCATCATGACCTTGAAGACCTAGCAGCATGAAGGCCTGGTGAGATACCTCATCACCCCACAAGAATCTGAGAAAAGCTGGGGAGCCTCTTCAGAAATGAGACAGAGACATAGCATTTTCCATACAGTTTTGGGGGTGCTATAGGGTCTCCACATTCAGTTCCACGGAACTCCTCATTTCTCTTGGGGTCACCCTGGTGTGGGATGGACATGAACCAAGGGTTTTGGAAACCCCAACAACTTGGTTTCAGCCTGAGGCCAGAGTCTTCTCATCCTGATGGGACTTGGATTTGTTGTGTGAAGCTAGGCAAGTGGAGGCTTGTCTCTGAGCAGGGAGTCTTATACCCACATTGAGTACCTCACGTGGTAAGGAGGCCTGGGACATTACAAGCACTGGGCCAATGCCTGGTACACATTAGGTGCTCAATTATGAGCCCACCCTGGTCATTACTCTTGAGCTGCTAAGTGGAGATTTTGCCTCATGGTTGCTTTTAGAATCTGTTTTGGTTTGGATGTGAAATGTCCCCTACAGCGTCACATGTTCCAACACTTGGTCGCCAGCTAGTGGTCCCTTTTCAGGAGGTAATGGAACCTACAAGAGGCAGAGCCTCATTTGAGGAAGTGGGTCAGTGGGGGTGGGTTGAGGTTCATTAGCTCAGAACTGGAGACAGCCAAACCCCACTCAGGCCTTCTGTCCACTGGGTACCGAGATCAACTTTGCCACTGCCTCGTCCCTACACATCATGCCACACTGCAATGGGGCATCCTGAGCTTGTTTACACTCACAGTGACCCTACCAAACGCCTCTCTGCCACTCTACTTCACAGGAGAGAAGACTGAGGCCGAGGAGGCATTGAGGAACCTGCCTGCGGTCCCACACCGAGAGAGTGACCCACCCTCCAGGTCAGAAGTCACCATGAGTCTACACTACCCACTCCATCCTGGAAACACCAGGCTCCTGCCCGGATTTGATTTATTTGTGTGTATGGTATATGTCTGTATATACATTCCTGTATATGCACATGTGGGGTGCATGAACATGTATGGTATGCATGTGTCTGTATGTCCACGTGTGTGTATTGGGTTCAGAGGTCAATGTCAGGTGCTTTCCTCAATTTTTTTCTGTCTTATTTTTTGGCACAGGGTCTCTCACTGAACTTGAAGCTCACCAATTCCTATAGATTAGCTGGTCAGACATCCCTGGGATCCTCCTGTCTCCAAACCTCCAACCTAGGTCCTCATGCTTGTGTGGCAAGTACTTTTCCTGCTGAGCCATCTCCCCAGGCCCACCCTTCCCTGCGCCAGCCTTCTGAGAAGCCAATCTCCACAACTGCCAGGGCTGAGCTGGCCACTTCCGAGAAGGTGTGTGTTCCTGTCCCCCACCAACCTTTCTGGCACTGCCCAGATGCCAACTTGGCTTGTGCCTGGCATGTCACTTCATAAACATTTCCCCAATTCTTGTGAATGAACAGTGTTTACTCAACAGCCTGGATGGCTCAGAGACAACCACAGACCCCAGTACCATGGTGTGCGGCTCAGCGCACCACTGTGAATTGGTATTTCAAAAGGATTACGGTGCTAATAAGCAGGGGCTCCAGCCCCAGGGCACTGGACTACAAGGCAGATGACAGCAAGTGCCACCACCTTGTAAAGGGCATCTCTGCTATGCCAGCTTTGTCCAGCCCTCGGAGATGGGGTACCCCTGCCCCAACAGTGCAGGAGACCCCCTTTTCTGGCAGTGCCTGGGGGAATCCCACACTTCATGCATGCATGCCTGCATGAGTATTGAAAGAAAAAAATGTCTGTTCCCTCCAGCTGAGTGCCTCAAGCAATTGTGAACTTTTTTGATCTCTTTCCTTTTCATAAACCCCCAAGTAAATAATAAATGGGAGAAACAGAAAGAAAGTGTATTTGAATGTGTGGAGGTCACTCCTTCCCTCCCTTCCACCATGGGAAAACATATCATGCCTATCCTGACATTAGCCTGCTGTGTCCTTGAATTTCCTAGATGGCTACATGCATTGTGGGCAGGGGGACAGTGGGGAAGCTTACTGTCCTTGTCTGGTCACTTCTCCCACCCCAGGCTATGAGCCCCCAAATATCTCCAACCCTCCTCCTTTTCCTCCACCCAGCCCCTAATCTCTGCAGCTCCTGCCCCCCTCTGTCCAGGAAGCAGACCTCAGGAGAGCTGGACACCAGTCCCATCAGAGCCATCCTGTCCATCTTCTCAGCCACGGCCAGTTGCTCAGCCAATCCAGTGGGGCCCAGCCATACCAGCTTCCTTTTACTCTCTAGAGCCAAAGACATGTCCCCCTCACCCCAGGACCTTTGCACACACAGCTTCCCTCCTCTCACTGGACTACCATTCCTCTCATCACCTCAGGAGTCCTTCCCTGATGCCCAGACTAAATTTGATCCAAGTTATGTAAGCTATTCATTCCTAGCTCACTTGCTCCACAGCTCTCAGCAGAGTGTGTGCGAATCCAAATGTGTGATTATTTGATTAACGTCCATCGTTTCTTCAGGGATTTTATTTCTAAATACCATGGAGACCCATGGCACCATGAAGACAAACAGCAAGTCTGCTTTGATCCTTGTAGGCATTCCTGGCTGGGCCTGGCACCTAGGTTCAGGGTTAAGCTCTTGCTGAGAGGTACTCTGGTGGCCAAGGTGACATTATCCCTTTCAAGCCCCTCACACTCTGCATCCTCCAGTCAGAGCTCCCCACGCAGCTTCTCGTGCCTTTTGTACATGACGTCATTTTATCTACCATCAGGTGCCCTGTTTACAAGCCCCAGATAAATATATAATCACAAGAAGATGAGCAAGACTCTCCACCAGAGTGCTTTGCACTCTCCCTCTGGTCCAGATGTGAGTATGTGTTTGCATTCAAGGCACATGTGACTCCCCACAAGTGCCCCCAGGGGAATGCACACACCAGCTCAGGCAGAAAAGCCTACGTCCATTACGCCTGGGGCCGGTTGATGAGAGGAATGACTGACCTGGCTGCCATGCAACTAGCACTTATAGGGCACCTACTGTGTGCTAGTCCTGTATTAAATTCACTCTCCTGCCACTGAACACAGATTCATTTCACAGAGGAGGAAACAGGCCTAGAAGGCGTGCACCTGCCTCTATGGCCAACTTCTTGACCACGAGGCCCCCAGCCCTCCTAGCAGAGAGCAAAGGCATGGAGTGGAGGAATGTAGCGACATTTAGAAGCCAAGTCTCAGGAGGCCTGAGCCTGAGCCAGGTGAGCAGGTGGAAGTGGAAGCGAGCCACTGGGCTCTGGGGGTGGGAATAACTGATTGTGCCACGTGCAAAGGGATCAGAGCTGATGGCCTCATGGGACAGAGCAGGAATAAGGGATGGGCATAACCATGGGGTGCAGCCACCAGGGCCTTCTTCTGGATGTCCTTGTCCCTCTCTTCTGTGTAATGTGGCAATGTGACTGCTGTGATGCCCCTTCTTAGAATCTTTGCAGTTGTGGGATTTCCCAAAACCACTTCTGTGGCCTGTGTCCCTCCCCCCAAATCCTAGAAAGCTCTCCTCAGTTCCTCTGTGTCCCCAACGACTGCAACAGGAATAAAAATAGAGGAGTCTTGGGTTGCACTGGGCCAGCATCCCAGAGCTGTGTGTGTGTGTGTGTGTGTGTGTGTGTGTGTGTGTGTGTGTGAGTGTGTGTGTGTGTGAGTGTGGATGCGTATATACACATGTGAGCAGACACTTGGGAGGGCAGGAAAGCAAGAAGGGGTTGGGAGGCACCTTCTCCATCTTACAGGTGGGGGAAGTAGAGGCAAAAGGGGGATCCCATGCTGAAATAAAATGCCAGGAGTCAGCATTTCGAAGACCTGGCTTTCTCTGCCAGGCACCTTTCCAAAGGGTCCCCTGCTCTGGCTGAGGAGAGTTGGGGTTCCTGTCTTCTCTGCCAGTACTAACTTCACAGCATGCTCAGTGTAGGACAGGTCCACATTTTGGGGGGGTAAGTCCCAACTCCAGAGTGGAAGTGGGTCTTCCCTGCTCTCCCTGCATAGTGGGGCTCCTCGTCTTAGGAGCAGCCTCTCCGGCTGGCCACCCTGATTTGGGGTTGGGGGGTATCATCTACAAAGATGCAGCGAAATGTCCTGTCAGGCCCCACCCTCTTGGCCATCCGCCATCTTGCGTGATACCTGAGATTTCGGTCACTCTCTTTCTCTCTACCACTCATGTGTATGTCTGTCTCTGTCTCTCCTGTTTCCTCCCTAGCCAGGGAAAAGGGGGCCCAAATCTCCCAAGATCCCCAGTTTAAAGTAAAGTCAATACTGCAGGCTCCCTTCCACTGGCTCATAATCACACTTGTGAGGAGCAGACGGACTCCAGAACAAGAGCAGCTAGGCTCCTTGGAGAGGGCACAATCAGACAATTTTTAAGATCATGGAGTATTAGACTGGTCCCAACTGGGTTTACTAATCAAACAGCCAAATCCTTCATAACCAGCCAATCCCTACAGGGCAATTAAATCCTTCCCCTTTAAAACACTTGCCACACTGTCTGGGGACAGAAAGAAAAATTTGCAAAATTCATTTGATAAATTAGCCAGGGAAAAGAAAGGAGGGAATCAAGCTTTGTTCTTTTCATTTTTTTTAATTATGGAATTCACAATGCCTGAATAATGTTTAATAAGAACTATGAAAATTCCTAACAGTATTACAACACAACACAAAAGAATTAACCTGGTTACCGTGAAAAATTGCATATTTAATTAAGAACAGAGAGTTCAAAACTATCCAGAGATTTCAAAAGTGCCGTTGCCTGAGGGGCCAAATTACATGCTTCCAGGGCTGCTAACGGAGTTAGCACGTTCAGTCATTACCCAGGCGTCCCCATTAAGTGACTCTGGGCAGATGACATCAAATTCATTTCAAAAGCACCAGGAACTGAAGCATTCACTTGGGTAGTTTAAGGGAAAGCAAGTACCCTGCTGGTACAAATCAGACCCCTTGTTGATAAAGGCAATAATTAAAGAATAATGTTAATTAGCTGCTTTTATTTGAAGAGAAGTACTGTAGTTGGAGGGCTTCCAGGCTGTTGAGGTGGGAGTCGCTCTTTCTCGAAGAAGTGGAGGCTGCTGTGGGAGTGGGGAGCACTGAGGCCCACAGCAAAGAGACAGCAAGAAAACAGGCTAGGCTTAGAGACCAGTACTTAGGGAGGGACTCGCCAACTGGATGAGGTACGGTTCCCTGTGTGGGAACCCGCCAGCCACCCCAAGGTCGTCGATGGGGCAGTTTGGAACGTGAGGAAAGATGGTGCCCCAGCATCTCCAATGCTGTTACTTCCATCATGGTAGACTCTGGCAAAACCGAACAGGCCTCCTGGGCCACTTCCTGTGTCACATTTACCCCATCTCCACAGGCTCCCTTCACACTCACTCCCCTCACAAAGGCTCCAGTCATGGTCACACTTCCTACTAGGCCACTTCCAGTCACACTCACTCCCTACACAGACATTTCCTGTCACACTCCCGACTAGGCCACTTCCGGTCATATTCCTCACAACCTGCTGTTAGATTCTCTCAGTACACAGACATCATAGACATTTCCTGTCACACTCCTTCCCCCCACACAACCCATAACACCTATTTTCTCCATTAGCCACTTCCTGACAGCTTGGGGGGCCTGAATCTTGTGACTCATTACCATCCTTAATACAGACAACTATCTTTTCCAAAGCTGGCTGCTACCATAGCTCTGCCTTCCCAGGCTCCTCATGGATTCTGACTGATACTCCTCCCACGGAGAAGTGGGGTCCAGACCTCTCATTTTGGACTCAGGCTGACCAATGCTTGAGCCTGGGCCACCAGAGTAGGCAGATATGACAACCAGTGTCCACACCTAGATGATAAAAATAGCTCACTTCCACCTTGTTCTCTGGAAGCCTGACCACCCTACAGTAAGGAACCATCACAAGGACAGGTCACATGGTGGTGTTTCTGTGAGTGACGTTCAGCTGTAAGCCACTGACTGAAGTGTGTCCAGTCACCTTACCCTCTGAGTCTTCCCAGCTGAAGCCCAGCTGTCATGAAGTGATGATGGCGGCTTTAGCTGGGCTCCGCCCTCACTTCTGACTGACAGATTCTGTGAGTCAAACAATTGTTGCTCCCACAAGGCTTGGGTGGCTTATTACATGGCAGTGATTGGCTAATACATCCACACAGATGCAAGAACGGCCTCATCCCCCAACACCCCATTTTCCTTATGGATCTACAACAAGCCCACTGTGAGAAACTGAACCACTCTCAAAGAAAGCCATCATTCGAGGCCTAGGGCTCTGATCCACACACTACCCAGTGCTAAGGCCCCCAGTGAGGAAACATATCCAGCCAAGGCCACTCACCTGCAGGGTTCAGCCACTCATCTGCAGGGCCAGCCCACCTCCCCAAGACAGCATCTCCACAGGGCAGGAAGGGATCTGCTAGACGAGGCAGCTCAGGCAGCGGAGGGGGTCTGCTTTCTTGGAACCCCCACCTGCCACTCTGGAGTCCAGCAGGCCTCACCCTCTGCAAGCCTCTGTGCGGCTCTTCACTGCTCAGAGAGGAATTCTTTTGCAGAGCTGAGTCTCATAAAGTAGGCCATGGGCCATGGGACCAGCCTCCTCGCTCGTGAAGGCTGTAGAAGATGGCCTCAGAGGGACAGGAGTGGCTCAGAAACTCTCCAAGCTGCTGGCCCAAGGGACCAAGTCCAGTGACCTCAGCAGGTGAGGGGCAGGAAACAGACCTGGGTATCCCGAGTCCTACTATGGGGACTGGCTGTAACCCTCTCCTGGGCCCAGATATCCAGAGTTTGGTGCTTGTATGCTCATTTGCAGGAAACTTGGCCCCCACTCCTACCAGGCATCTCTGTCCCCCGTGGGCCACCCACGCT